GTCTCTATGCCTTTTGTGTAGCTCATGAATTTAGAATGCTATGGAAGCAAAAAGGCTTCTTAACTTCCTTAGGGAAGTCTATTAAAAAAAAAAAAACAAAACAACAACAAAAAAAACGGTTGCAGAATTATTAGATGCCTTACAACAATAGAGAAAATTTGCAATTATAAATATTCTAAAACATTCTAAAGCTACTACCATGGAACAAAAGAAAATCATTTAGCTGATGCTATAGCAAAACAAGCAGCAGTAAGCAATCAAATTATCCAGACATGAGAGTATTCTTTGCTCCCTGCTAAATTAATAAAATAAAATATTTTTCAGTTCCAAAACACAGTTACAGAAGGTTAAAAGAAACCATGGCAAAGAATATATGCACCACTATGTTAATAGCAGCACTATTTACAACAGCTAAATCTGGAAACAGCCCAAGTGTCCATCAGTAGATGAGTGGATAAAAATGTTGTGGAACAGTTTCACAATGGAATACTATACAGCTGTAAAAAAGGAGGATCTCTTACTCTTTGAGACAGCATGGAGGGACCTGGAGACTATTATACTAAGCGAAATAAGCCAGTCAGAGAAAGACAAGTATCACATGATCTTACTTATATGTAGAGTATAATGAACAAAATAAACTGACAAACAAAATAGATCCAGAGACATGGAACCATAACACAGACTGATGGATCTCAGAGGGAAAAAGGGCAGGGGGAGAGATTAACCCAAGAATTTATATACATATATGCATATCCCATGGGCACAGACAACAGTATAGTGAAGGGGTGAGGTGGGGACCAGGTGGAGGGGGGAAATGGAGGAAAAAAACGGGGGGACATCTGTAATACTCTCAACAATAAAGATGAAAAAAATCAAACAAAAATTGGTATTTTTTTTTCCTAGTTATTTCTTCACAATTGTATATTGGGTATGTTGGGATGGAGGGCAGTTTATAACTTAACTGCAGGTGATGAGACTGCTAGGATGATGGATCTGAAGATGGCTGCATATCAACTAGAGATCTCAATGCTAAAATGCAGTAACTGGGTAAGTCTAGGCTTTTCCCCTTTGAAGACATAAATTCACTACATGTAGGTGTGGGCATTTTTGAAAGTAGATATGTGGGAAGGAGTCTATGGAAGTTTGTTACCCAAAGTAAGAAGCAATACTAGACATGTGTGATTGGTACATGGCATTCACTCCTCATGCCCTTGATTTTACTAGGAATCCATTGGGTTGGGTTCTAGGGAGATATATCCAAGGACTCACAGATGGCACACATTCTAGTGCATTTCATCCATGAGACTTCAGTAATTGGTCCAGTTATGTGACCTAAGCCAGTTCAGAATGCATCACAGGACATAGGTTATTTATCTTTGTCTAGACTGCAAACGTGGTAACTTGTAACTGCTGGTCCAGTTTCACTACCATGAGGAAAAGCAAACTAAGAATGAAATTGACCTATAGAGTAAGGAAACCCCTAATTAATCACACACTGAACCTGAGCCTCAATCAAACTGTGCCTGAAGCCCATCTAACCTCTGAATTATTTTAGTTACATGAATTAATGATGCTTGGTAACTATTTAAATCTGTTTAAAATAAGTTTCCAGTTACATGCAGTAAGGCATTCTGTTAGAAAAGGCAAATAAAAATATCATACATTTGCATGTGACTATATGTAAGTGAAAGTTGGAATAAAAAATAATGTTCATTTCATTTTTGGGTTACTTATATTATCTTGATTTTTCCCACAGCTTCAATGTATAAATGATTTTCTCTTTAATGTACCTCAATAAAAAGATACAGGCCCCTCTCAAGGCGTTCCTTCCACAAAATCAGTAATGTTCACATACACCTCACATTTTACTAGTTAGAAAAATTTGCCAGGCAGAAATGGTGGGTTTCCAGGGGGAGATGTAAGTTTTCATTAAACCAGGTTTGGGTTTGAAGCTTTGAATTAGTCACACCTTCTTCCCCTCCAGATTCTAAATCAACTACAAAATGTGCACAGGCATCAAAGAGGGATTAAATATCAACTTTAATACATTGTTAAGTGAAAAAGCAAAATTCAGAATAGTATGCATTATATGCCACCATTTGTATAAAAAAATGATATACACAGATACATAATATGCTTGTACATACATCGATTATCTCTGGAAGCATACATAGCAACTGGTAACAGTGGTTACCTTTGGAAAGTGGAACTGAGGGACTGAGGTAAGGGTGAGAGGGAGGAAAGGAGATTTAGTTTTTACTTTATATCCTTTAGTACTTTTTCATTTTTTACCAGACACAGGTGTTTTTCTCCAAAAACAATTTATATATTAACATTTTTAAAAGGATAAAAATAGATACCAGCTTTATTACTGATAGATCTGGACTCCAGACCATGGTGTGGACCTGACCCTGAAATGAACGTCTACCCCAAGTCTAACGCAGAGAGTTACCCCGCCATGTTGTGGAGGACTACATTCTTTCCCATACCTTGCTGTGAGGAATGAGCTGAAGAGCCAAGAGGGGCCCAGGCTGCTTACCCATAATAACCTTTTTCAATTTTACCGAGTTATTCCTCCTTCCATATGGAAGACTGAATGACTAGGAACATGGAGAGAGACATAAGATAGATCCCATCATATCCATGGACATTTTTGTTCTCTAATCCACAATGGTCAACACCCAAGACTATGGTTAACAAACAGGGCTTGGCTGTCCCCTATGGGGAAAACCAGCAGTATCTTAGGAATGTCCTGCTTCCATTTGTGTCAGACTAGTGAGCAGTTCTGTTTTTGACCCTAGAAGGCTCTGAAATAAGTCAGAATAGAACAGTATTTTAATTAATTTCAAGGCTACATTATACCCTAGACTGAAAATTCACTCACTGTTTTATCCCTAATTTATAATTATGTCCAGCCACATTATAGGATATAGTTTACAAGGATTACACAATGATCCCCGAAGATAGCACATTAAAATAATCCAAAAATTAAAATATCAACAACATAATTAAAATGTCTTAATTTGAACTATATAAAACCCACTCCAATTATTAAACTTCAAGGGAGAAATCAATGCTCATAATTAAATTTCTATTTTAAAGTCCAAAGGAATTAAAGTCCAAAATTTTGCCTTTCACAATTTCTTGTTTTTCTCATTTCAGCCATACAGATCTCACAAAGAATGTCTGGACAGATGTAGGGTTCCTTCAGCAGCCACAGCTTGGTGGTCTGTCTTCATCTTGATTAGGTGTAGTTCCTTCAGGACTTTAGGAGCTAAATTAATCTAACCCCACAACTGCATGTTAAGTATTTTTAAGAGTCCATAGTGTCAATAGGACAAAAGATGGCCTCAGTATCATCATCACCTCCCAAAATTTGAAAGCACACTAATTCCAGGCCCATAGAAGCAAATTTATGTCCCCAGGACTTAGTACATAGGGTGACACAGACCTACATTGCTGTTGTCAGTCAAATATCTGAACAGAGACTTAGTGGTATCAAAAGAAAGAAAAGCAGACAGAGAAAACAAAACATGGGAGAAAAAGACTTTTCTTGGTTTCATCCTCAGAAGAATGCTAGTGTGTCTGTGCCAGCAGTCCAGAATCCATGACCTGTGAACTTAAACTAATTTGGAAGATATTTCCCAAGCATTTGATTTCATTGCCTCAGGTTCCAGCCCCAAATTTGCAGAAGTCCAAAGCCTGTCTGTCACTGCTAATGGAGCTTGTACAGAAACTCAATGAGAAAGTGTTGGCTTTTGCCAGGTGCTTCTTTCTCTCCAAAACCTTATTTATTTTTCAACCTTTTCCCCTAGGCTTTGGTTAATTTTCACCAATGCCTTCAATAATGGAAAGCATAGTACCCATTCTGTTACTTATTTTTCTACTGCAGTAGGGCTCACCCTTACCTGCATATGAGTATCTTAGGACCAGCCAACAAACTGGATAAAGTTGAAAAACAAAACACTAATAAGTACCCATTATATTTCTATCTACCAATGCCAGCATTAAGCACTTAAAACATCATTAAACGTATTGATCATCTAGCACTGATCCTAACCTATGTGTTCCACACTTCTGCTAGGACAACATAATAGATGAGCCACCAGTTTATACAAGGAAGCAAAGACTATTTTCAGACTTTCTTAGTTCTAGCAAGTGTCCTGCCCACATCATATGCTGGGTCTCCAAAGTCCCCTAAGAATCAAATCTAAAATTTAACCTAACATTTCTCAGAGTCTCTCTTGGTATAGGAAAGACATCTGTATCTCATCCTGATTCCAGATTTTTGCTTTCTCATTTTGAGGTCCTGGATAGATCTGACAACCCTGGCTAAACTCAGGCTTTACCCTGTGATGGAGAACTCTAGCTAGAGCCTGACTTAATGCTTCACTGGGCTGGCAAAGCCTACTTGTGGTAAAGTCTTCCTACACAGCCTGCATTTGTTAAAACCCACTCCATGTTTACAGGTCCTACCCAGAGATATTGCAGACAACAGAGGCCCTAATGCCACTGATAAAAAAATTTTTAAAAAACTTGATTTCTCCCAAATGCTTGCTCTCTTATCAATTTCATGGCAAATGTTTACGTACTAAAATGAAAAGTAATTACTCTCTTGATTTTGAAACAAGTTGAGCAATAAGTGCAAGAATCAGAAAGGGAGCAATATGTTAGTCTTACTTTCAGTATAGAATTGAAAATGCAACTTGGACAGGAAACCAAAATGGGCTTCTCATTCTTCCCCAAGTTATACTTTGAAGCCACCTGGAGGGAAGAGTTGAAGTTGCAAGGAAACTTACCCAGCCATACTGAATATCTCAGGAAGCTTCATTGTTCAATGAGTAGAGAGAATCCAAGAACCCAAAAGAGTGAGGAAACAGATGTTCAGCTACATTGAACCCACTAACACCACCAAAGATAAAAGTATGGGCCAGTGGATGTCAGACTTTATTTACCCTTCTCACTAATTATATAAATCATTCTCCCATGGGAAGGAACCTGTAAAAAAAGGGCAAAATATTTCTTCCAAAACTCTCTGAGTGTAAGTTCTTTTCTTTTCTTTCTTTTGGCCAGATAAAAGCATGCAGAAAGGGAGAATATTCTTACAAATTGGAAAACAATCAAGACTTTGTGTGTGCACAGATTTTACAAATAGTCTCACAAGTTTGGAAAATTTCAAGATAACCTCTAAGATGTTTTTACCAAATCGTAGACATAGATATGGAAATCATCATCGAACTTGATGAAGTACACGGAGGGTTTGGCTTCTACCTGGTGAATGACCATACCGGTTCTCTTGGAGCCATCGTCTTTGGCATATTCCACCTGTTTACCTACTAGGCTGTCTATGACTTCTCCTGGCTCCTTCTCTGCAGGAGAAGAATCACTGGAATCAGGAAGGATGCGTAGGTCACCGTCTTTATAATCATCTAAGAGCTGGTACATATATAACACAGGATCTTTCTCATAGGTAATGTAAAACCATGTTTTCATGACAGGTGCCTGAGCTAAGACCATCCCCCTCCATTCATTTTTGGAACCTTCCTCTGTCTCAAAAATGTGTTCCACTGCTTTGCCAATCATAATTTCTGTTAAGTGTGTATCACTGATTCTAGATGATGCAACTCTATTAGGAAAAACTTCAAGTGATGACACTCTTTCATCTCTGTGCAGTTCCAATCCATAAACACAGTCAAATCCATCATATTTGATAAGATACAGAGAGGGATTTACAGGTACCTGATCCAGAATGGTTCCCTTCCACTGTGTTAGAGGTTCATCTCCGTTTTTCCATCCGTGCCGAATTCTGCAGCCCACGATGTTCCTCCGAGGCCGGGAGAGGGGTCTGCTCCTATGCTTCTTGTGTGCAGCCTTTTTCTTCATCATGGTAACAGGCACACTGGCAAGCCTTGAGCCTGTTCTGGACCGCTGCCCTGTAGCCGCCTTTCCAAATGGGGTCTTCATGCCTGAGAGGAGCACAGTAACAAGGCAGGCCAAGAAAGGAAATTAAGAAAAAATAAATTCAATGCATGACACGGTGATCTTTGTCTCCTAATTAGTGCACTCCGTGCACCCACGCCTAAGTTTTTCCTGAAAGCTACACAGGAAAGCTGGAAATCAAGGCAACCCGGCGCGGGCCTGCAGTAACCTTCCTCCCCAGTTCATTCCAGTTACGCTAGAGTGAGGGAGTTGCGATTAGGGTCAAAGAAATAGGGGGCATTCCCGCCTGGTTTCCAACACTGTCCATGCCAGGTGGCACAGACTCCCCAAAGCTGAGGATCGTGGACCTCACTCGCCCAAATCCGGCACTTCTCTGCTGCCTTCGCCTTGAGCCTGAACGGGAAAGAGGATCAGCAGGAGCCAAGAAAGGAGCTTGCAAGAGCTGGTTGGAGAGGATCCGTAGACTAGCAGCATGTCTAGGAGGGCGGCCTGGCAGGCGAAGAGGATGGCGCCTGTGTCTCCAGCACTGAGCTTGAGAGCCCTCTGCCTCCCAGTAGGCGGCAGAGGCCGCTCTGCCACATCGGGATCCCACCAGCCGCTACTGCAGCAGCAGCTGTCTCCTCCCTCTTTCCCTCCGCGCAGCTTCCTGCCAGGAGAGAGGCCTCCCCTTCCTGCTAAACCACGTGGGCTCCCCTCCCCCAACTCTCACGCCCACCTCTGCCTTGGGTTTGGGAAGTGCTTCTTGGCTCCAGGACTCGCCCCTTCCCAAAATCTGGAGTGGCACAGCCTACAATTCCCCTCCCTAACCACCTAATTCCTTTCTCCAGTTCAGGTCCCCAACCTCCCCACCCCCACCTCACCCTACCCCACCCCCACCTCAGTGCCCCTGCCCCATCTGCTTTCCATCTTCTAGGAATTCGCTCTTTCCTTTATCCCATGCTTTTCTGGAGTTATTCTTTATATACAGAAATCTGCCCTTTCTGTATATAAAGGGATTTGTGGTACAATTAGAAAAATCTTCATCCAATCTCTAGGTAATTTTTATGTCTGGTCATTCCCAGACTTTACTTATTGAAGATTGTTTTTTTCCCCACTTTTCTCTTTATGTCTCTCTGTTTTATTCACTGATTGTAAAAGAATTGTAGGCACAATGTGGGCATGGTGCAAAATAAAAAAAAATGACATGAGGAAAATAATCAAGTGTAAGCTCACCTTCCATTCCCCACACCTTCTAGTAAAATATGGACACTTTCCACTGCCTTTTTAATAAGCTCTAACAAAGCTGAAATAATTTTGCATATTCATTTTCATGGTGTGCCTTTTTCCATACAGAATAGACATTTGCTCAGTTTATTAGATATTGTCTTAAACATTTTGTAGTACCTTCATTTAAATCAGCATAAGGATATTTTCATAATTTAACCATTCAGTCCAGCTTTCAGATGTTTAGGTTTTTAAACAAAAGCTTATAAATGATGCTTGCACATGAATTATTAATATGTTCTATTGAACAGAATAATGTAGACACAAATCTATAATCTAAACAATTACTGTAATTATAATGGGAATTTATTATTTTGACGCTGTCAGATTATAAACCTATGGGAAAAAACTTATTTTGATTCAACCATTTTTTCCCCATTACAGCCATCTTAGTGGGTGTAAAGTAGTATCTTGTTGTGGTTTTGATTTTCATTTCCTTGATAACTAATAATGATGAGCATCTTTTCATATGTTTGACATTTGTGTATCTTCTTTGGAGAAATGTCTACTGAAGTTCTTTCTTCATTTTAAAATTAAACTGTATTTTGTTCTTATTGTAAGTATTCTTTAAAATTCTGGATATGAGGCCCTTATCAGATACATGATTTGAAAATATTTTCTCCCTTTCTCTAGATTGTCTTTTCACTTTCTTGACTATTTTTGTGATACATGAAAGTTTACATTTTGATGAAATCCAATTCTGTATTTGTTTTGTTTAATGATTGTACTTATGATGCCATTGCTAAGAAAACATTGCCAAATCCAAGGTCATGAAAATATACTCCTATGTATTTTTTAACGTTTTTAGCTCTTATATTTATGTCCTTGATCCATTTTGAATTAATTATTATGTTTGGTGTGGTGAAAGGGACCAAATTCATTATTTTGTGCGGGGATATCCAGTTTTCCCAGAACCCTTTGTTGAAGAGACAATTCTTAGCCATTTAATTGTCTTGACAGCCTTGTCAAAAATCAACTGACCATAGATGGGTTTATTTCTAGACTTTCAATTCTATTTCACTAGTATATATATATTATATATTCTAATATATATTATATATACATATATCCTTCTTCCAGTACCACACTTCTTTGATTACGGTAGCTGTGTATTAAATTTTGAATTCAGTAAGTGAGAGTAGTTATTTAAAAATGTTATTTTTCAAGATTATTTTGGCTGATTTGTGGTCCCTCTCAATTCCATATGAATTTTAGAATTGACTTTCAGTTTTCTGAAAAAAAATGGGTTAAATGCATTTCTAAGTTATTTTATTCATTTTGATGTTATTGTAAATGGAGTTGTTTTCTTAATTTTTGGATCATACAGAGCCAGTGTATAGATGTTGTATCCTAAAACTTGGCTGAATTCTTTTAATAGTTCTAATAGTTTTGCATGGCTCCTTCAGAATGATCTAATATAGAAAATCAAGTCATCTGCAAATAGAAATTATTTTACATCTTCCTTTGTAAATATTGACGTCTTTTGTTTATATTTTTGCCTAATTTCCCTAACTAGAACTACCAGTGCAATGTCGAATAGAAATGGTGAGAGGTAATATTATTATTGTTCTCTTAATCTTAGGGTAGATTAAGTCTTTCACAATTTAATATGAAGTTAACTGCATTTTTCATATGTGTCTTTCATCATGTTGAGGAAATTCACTTATATTCCTAGTTTGTTGACTACTTTTTATCATAAAAAAATGTTGTATTTTGTCAAATGCCCTTTATTAATTGAGACAGTCATGTGTGTGTGTTTTATAATTCTCACCCAAAGATATTTTTTCATTGATTTTTAAATAGAATGGGAGGGTGTAAGGGAGGGAGATAGAGAGAGAAACATTAATGTGAGAGAGAAACATCAATTGATTGCCTCCTGCATGACCCCAACCAGGGCAGGGGATCAAATCTGCAGCTGAGGTATGTGCCCTTAACTGGGAATTAAACCCATGACTCTTCCATCCACAGGCAGATGCCATAACTGCTAAGCCAAACTGTCCAGGGCCAATCATGTATTTTTAAACAACTTTATTGAGGTAGTTGATGTATCAAAATTGTATATATTTAAGGTGTACACATATATGAATACATATAGATATATCAATATATAGCCATAGCAATACATAGCTATATATGTAAATGTATGTATAGTGAAAAGATAACCACATCTACATATTTACCCATTGCTTTTTTCTTTAGAAATTTTAATTGCCGCAAAATAATACATAACATAAAATTTACCATTTTAACAATTTTTATGTGTACAACTCAATGGTATTAAGTACATTCACATTTTTGTATAACTATCACCATTATCCATTTCCAGAATTTATTATTATTCCAAGAAGAAAAAATAATTCCTCATTGCTCCCTCTCTCTCGGCCCTTGGTGAATTCTTTTGTCCTTTCTGATTCTGTGAATCTGCCTAGTCTTGATTATGATTCCACTTCATGAATGGGATCATAAAACATTTGCCCTTTTTTGTCTTTTAACTTAGTATAGTGTTTTAAAGTTTATTCCATTTAGAACATGTATGAGAATTCCTTAAGTCTGAATAATATTTTGTTGGACACAGACACATTTTTTGTGGGTTTTTGTTGTTGCTATTTTTTTAGTTTAATTTTATTGTTGAGAGTATTACATATGTCTGGCATTTTACCCATTTTTCTCCCCTCCACTCATCTCCCACCCCGCCGGAGGCCTTTATCTTTCTATTGTCTGTGTCCATGGGCTGTGCATATATACATATAAGTTATTTGATTAATCTCTTCCTGCCCTCCTTCCCACCTTTCTTCTGAGATCTGTCAGTCTGTTCCATGCTTCCATGCCTGTAGATATATTTTGTTCATCATTTTATTATTGTTCCTTAGATTCCACACACAAGTGAGATCATGTGATGTTTGTCTTTCTCTGACTGACTTATTTCACTTAGCATAATAATCTCCAGGGCTATACATGCTGTCTCAAATGGTAAGAGATCCTTCTATTTACAGCTGCATAGTATTCCATTGTGTAAATGTATCACAACTTTTTTAGCCACTCATCTACTGATGGGCACTTGGGCTGTTTCCAGATCTTAGCCAGTGTAAATAATGCTGCTATGACTATCAGGGTGCATACATTCCTTCTAATTGGTGTTTCAGAATTCTTAGGATATTTTCCTAAAAGTGGATCACTGGATCAAATGACAGTTCCATTTTCAATTTTTTGAGGGAACATCATATTGTTTCCCATAGTGGCTGTACCAGTCTGCATTCCCACCTGCAGTGTACTAGAAGTAGCCTTTTCTCCACATTCTTGCCAGCACTTGATGTTTGATAATTTGTTAATGGTAGCCATTCTGGCAGGTGTAAGGTGATACCTCAGTGGTTTTAATTTGCATCCGTCTAATGATTAGTGATGTTGAGCATTTTTTCACATTTCTCTTGGACATTTGTATGTCCTCTTTGAAAAAGTGTGTAGTCAGTTCCTCTGCCCATTAAATGCTTTTTCTTTATTGATTTTAGAGAGAGAAGAAGGGAGAAGGAGAGAGAGATAGAAACATCAATGAGAAAAAACATTGATTGGCCACCTCCTACATGTCCCCAACAGGGGATTGGGCCCATAACCTGGGCATGTGTCCTGACCAAGAATCCAACTTGTGACCTACTGATGCGTGGGTTAATGCTCAACCACTGAGACACACCGGCCACCTCTGTCTATTTTTTAATTGGGTTGTTTGTCTTCTTTTGGTTGAGTTTTATGAGTACTTTATACATTAT